AATGTCCTGCTGCTAACTCAAGCCCCCCGCACAGCATCCCCAAGTGGTAAGTTTATAAATAGAGTGAATAAAACAACAACTGACCCAACAATGTGCGTTAAAAGGCCTCAACTTCTGCGACAGGCAATGTTCCAAACCTCTTTCACCTTACTTTGTTAACCTATGCAACACCAAACACCACGCTTCATCCATCCAATCAGCAGGTGTCAATAGCTGTGAAGATGTAGCAAAGTCGTCTTATATTTACTCCAAAGGGGTGGGCGATAGACTTACCTCCATGTGGTGCACCCTGGGCAACGTATACTCATACGGCAAAAAAGTCTATTAACCGGCATTTGACTTCTGACTTCAAACTACCACGACCCCCCTGGTTGTCATATTCGACCCCTTCCACAGTACTCACCTTACCTTTTTCTCTACCTTTGTGTCTGTCTGCCTCTTTTACATCTGTGAATCGCTCTTCTGTTCCCCACCCCTCGACCTTCCCTCTGTGAAGCCCGAAGTCAGCTAAATGGCTAATGATATCTATCAAAACGCCTGCCATTTGAAATAAATAAATAAATATTTGCTCCAAAAATAGTTCCAGGTGCGATGGAGGCAATCTTATGAAGGATAAGTGTAAAACTTACGGGTAAATTAAGACATTCACGACAACGTTTGCAGACGGCCTTTGGATTAACGTCTTTCAATGTTTCACGAATTCTACTCTTGTGGAGATCATAGTGAGACTTCAGGAGGGTCTAAATAAACCGAAGAAAAAGGAGTAAGCAAAGATAAAACCAAAGTAATAAAACAGGTCTTTTGTTTTGTTGTAATAGGGAGTTGTGGGTATCGGGTTTTTTTCCAGTTAACAGATTTACGTCCAGTAATTGTAAATGGCGAAAAATCCAGAACTGAAACAGCAGCTAGTTAAAAAAAAGGCATAAACACTGAGGTGCTGACTGCTAATTGAACCCTCCTGAGTAAAGAGACAAGTGTGTAAGAAGGAAATCGGTCATGCGATTAGACTCATTAGCTGAGCTACCACCACTCAATTAGGCCAAATTCAAGATTGACCAACGAAATGAAAAAAAAATGCTTCAATGAATGTAATCGTATAGGGGGGTGAACCAAAGCTGACAAATGAATGTCAAAATGGAAAAAAAGAGATAGCAATTAAAATTCACAGGGCACTCTTCCCCCCCCCCTCTCTTCAATGTACGAAAACCTGAAAGCGAGGTAACCTTTTGTTCAAGTCTATATTCCCTTCAAACAAAAGGGCCTAATATTAGCCTACTCTTTGTGAGCAACAACTAGGCAAAGGCATAGAAATAATGTTGACACCATGACAACCGTTATTAGTGCGCATTTGAGATAACGCGACCACACATGAGAACTTGGCAATTACGATGCACATATCATGCATGCTTCTCAAATATCATCCAAGCATCTAAACAAATCAAGCAACGAAATGGTCAAATTCAGCTAAACATCCAGACCCATCGAAACAGGAAGTAACTATTTTGCACTCTAATGAACATATTTGAAAAGGAATAAGTAAGCGAAGGGTGATGGAGAGACGGGCATGCAAATTAAAAGCCACAAAGGACATTGTGCTTACTGACGGCTTGGAATTAGGCCAGTCAGTACTGAGGCAATTCCCCACACGTGAACCAATGAGCAATTAGAACCTGGGATACACCCAGCCACCACCCCCACCACCACCCGCCCCATTCGAGGCCACTTAATGACACACACTAGTCACCCCCATGAGCATCTCCTGCTTCGTGAATTTTATGTCTCTTGGATTTATTCTGCGCTCTTCAATAAATGCTCAGTTAAACAAGGTAGTGGGGTGGTCAATCCATTTAGGTGAAAAATGGTGTGAATGAACCTGAGGGAGTAGAGTTTGCAAGAAAGCAGATAGTTGCCAACAAATGTAGCAAAGAAACAGGAAGAATGGAGGGAACAAAGATGAGCAGAAATGCTGAACTGTAAACCAAAATTACACGAAATGGTTAGATAAAAACGACAAAAAATTTGCGATGGATTAACTACTTTCGCCGGAGGTAGAGGCGTTGAATAAAAATAAGTACTTTATATCTGAGAAAAAAACAAATAAAAATTGCGGATATTTGTTAAAGGAACTAAATAACATGGTCGTTATTTGGTATAGTTTGAAGAGAATGGAGACTAATAAGAGGTTACACAAGAAACCATGAAAAAAAGGCAGAATTCAAACCACCTTCAACTCACCGTAAACTTATCCAATTCATTTTTCGATATCAACTCCCAGAACTCGTGCACCGACTCGAAAGAGAGACGACATCCGACAGTTGCCTAAACAAAGAACTGAAATTATAATCTTCAAGTTTCGCATGCAAGCAGTGAAGTACATCTTACGAACTTACTTCAATCAGTTTCTCAAAAGTGGTGTACGGAAGATTGTCTTCACCAATTTTGATAACACGACCGACCTGTTTGCTAAATTCCTTCAACTTGAGCGCGGAAGTCATCAGATCAGCACGACACTTGCCTATTTGAGAGTGGAAGAACTGCTCTCTGTTTTCAATTGCCTCATCGTCTTGCTTTCCTTCAGTCTTGGAATCAGGTTCACCGAATAAGAAGCGTACGACAGCCAACATATCTGACACCTGAAAGGAAAAAAATTATTCGATTACCGATGATGGTTTACGTGAGAAGCAATGGATATTTCTAGAAGATCTGATTCTTAATTGAAGACAGCGTGTAGGAGAATGGCACTAGGATCTACTCTAATTGTTTGATGTGCAATGATTCACCACCATAAGAGAGACCCAGTGATACAAGATAAACACAATCGTCACTTGCAATAAGAAAAGAAAAAACAACGACACAACAGCTCAAGGTCGAAGTCTGGCTGAGCAAGTCCAGCATCTAGGCCGTAAGTACAGAAAGAAATTTATTTTTTCAGAACACTTATTCCCATAAAATATTGGCCGATCCACTTGTGACGTGCGCATCCCATCCATTTAAGCTTATATTTGTACGAGGGGGTGTGCGATAGACTTACCTCCACGTGGTGCACCCTGGGCAACGTATATTCATACGGCAAAAAAGTCTATTAACCGGCAGTTGACATCTCACTTCAAACTACCATCACCTCACTCTATGCCATATTCGACTATTTCACAGTACTCACCTCACCTTTTTTCTACCTTTGTGTTTGTCTCTTCTACATCTTTGAAGCACTCTTCTGTTCCTCCCCCTCTCGACTTTTTATAATTTGATGTTCCTTCCCCTCTGTGGAGTCTAAAGTCAACTAAAGGGCTAATGATAACCATCAAGACGCCTGCCATTTGATATAATAATAATAATTTGGGATGCAAAAAAGTATGAAATCTCAAACCTCGTTTTGACAGCATTTACGTCTTTAATATTTGATCAATGACAAAGAACTAGTTACTCTAATGTCACCACTTCGTTACTTGGGTATGATAATTTAAAAAGCATATATATGCAATAAGAGATTTTTATGCTTTAAAAATGTTTTTATTTAGGAGTAATATGATAAAGATGCTTTATGCTTTATGATTTTGCGGCTTTGATCATATTAGTGAAATGTCCTCCTTATATATTTCATTATTATAAAGTTAGCGGCATTAAACCCATGTAATGGATATTATTTTATTATATTTTCTCAAATTTTGACAAACTAAATCATCACATATTCCCAACTAAATTAGTGTCCTTCACAATTTTAATATTTTGCGTCCAGGCATTTAGTTGATTATTAATTCTTTGCTATATTTTACTCGAACGATCACTTAAATAAACTAATTTTTTCTTGATTAAGGACTTCTTAGTTACTTTTAATTTACTCAAAAGCCTGTAAGATTTTCTGTCGTTTAATTCTGAAAATTTCATGTACATTTCGTATATGACACTTTTAAATAAAAATATATTAGCACGCTGTGTAACAGTCAATATCCATTGACTGGCATCAGGTTTTTTTGCAAAAGAGAACTAAAATTAATTATTATTATAAATATACTTTAGCAGCATTAAAGTTGGAAATAGGTTGTTTCTTTTTATTGATTTTAACTGCCATCAAAATTTGAACTATTGGAGATAAATTCAAATGATTTGCTCTGCTAGATCATATTTTTCAAGCAATTAAATTGAATATTTTTAATTTTTTGCACGTTTGGGCAATAAATGATGGAGACAAAGTGTAAGGAAAAGTGGGCTACGAAATAGACTTTTTGAAAAATCGAATAGCTTGTTAAAAATTTCATATGTGATTTCAATAATATGTTTAAAATTCTTTAACTTTGAAATATATGTGTTTTTAAACATAGAATTAAGATTTTTTATTCAAATGCCTTAAACACGATTTTGAAAAATCTACCAAGTTATAGGAATATTATATTCATATAGTGTCAAATGTGCAAAGATGATAAGGTTAGAATTTGTTCATTTAACGCATTGTAAGAGATGAAGATGAAATCTAAAATTTCATATAAACGTCATTTATTAAAAAATCTTTTTTATTATTTAGTTGTTATCAAGTTGATATACCTAACTGAAATAATGTCTATTTTTCTCTATTTAGTGTTCGCATACAACCTACCGCCTTGTGTGTGCAATACCATCTGTCTCGCCCAATATTCACGATGACTATCTACCGCATAGGCCGTCGAAAATGTGATATTTCATTTTGATTTTCTCCTTTTTAGGAGAAATAGGCAACATGAGAGTGGTGGTTAACGTCAATCAATGCAACGATATTTTAGGCACCACTAAAATTGAAATCTGTAAAAAAACGGTTATTTAAAAATCTAAAGAGAAACAACTATCTTCCTATTTGGTAGTTACAGAAAGAATTGCGATGACAAGTAACTTAATGTCACTTTGCTTTAGTTAGTACTCAACTGCTCCAAGACGTGAGGAGGAATAAGATAATAGAAAAGAAAAAGTAGGACATTGACAACTCAGTAGTCATTTGATAATAAAGCTAATTTTTCAATAAATTCAACAGAAATTACAATGAATTTTAGGATCATGCTTAGCTTACCTAATACTTTATACAGTCACCAATTATCTCAGAATTTGAAATGAAATTCTGATTGCTTCCGAAGTTAGAATATTCACCTACTTTCTCTTGTCTCGAATATTGGTCTTCTTTATATTGAACGAAATATTTTCAATAGTTGTAGTCAACATTTGACGTTTGATATCAAACCGGCAGTTGACTTCTGACTTCAAACTACCCCCACTGTATGCCATATTCAACCCATTTCACAGTACTCACCTTACCTTTTCTCTGCTCTTTTGTCTATCCCTGTCACATCTTTGAATCATTATTCTGTCCCCCCTCTCGACTTTTTGTCACTTTGATGTTCCTCCTCCTCTCTGTGAAGCCTGAATTCAGCTAAATGGCTAATGATAATTATCAAAACGCCTGCCATTTGAAATAAATAAATAAATACATGCTTTTCAGGATAAAAAAGAACTCCAATTCATAACTCACCTTGAATTGAGCAAAGTTATAAGTCGTGGGCAACGATAATCTTTAAAACGTTCTTCACGTAGGCAACTTGAAAAAATACGTTGCCGTTTATAATGGCACAATGTGACCTAATTCAGAACGTAATCTCCATAACCATCCTTTATCGAGTTTT